CCCCAAAACCCCAAAACCCCAAAACCCCGGGTTCAGTGGGTTAAATAATAAAGACGAAATTTGTAAAAATTATTAGAATATGATAACCTCAATTGTTGACAATTTGTTGAATAAAGCTTTTGAGCTCTTTGTTCATAGAGTTTGTCCAGCCGTAATGGAAGGTGACAGAATGCTCAAACAGAAGATCCCTTACTTTTATAGAGCTATGATTCTTGTTCCTGTCGTTATTTGGATGGTTATATTGAAATCTAAGTTGATATTCCATCAACTATTCGATGTCTCATCGACCCAAGAAAATGTTTGAGTCACCACAAAAAGTTGGGAAGACCAAGTATCTAAAATTTTGCTGACACTTGCTTAGTAAGCCTCAGTTGTTCACAATTATAGCCTAATTTGGGCATTCTGGGATAAGATAATACTTCAGAACCCTAAGGCTGTGACATTATTAACAAAGGTAAAAATTTAGTTGAATCGCTGCTTTCAACACCAATATTTGATGAAGTCAGGATTACCGTAAAATTTCTTCTTCGGGGTATGAAGCTGAAGCTTTATGCTTCATAGACTCATTGCAATGAGAGAGGGTCTTAGTCTCCTCATTAAATTCTCATTTAAAATGGCTCATTTTTAGAACTTTCCGTCACTTTTTTATTGACGAGATTGGAATGTTTCTCTCATTTTTCTAATGAAAAATAATGGAGTTATTGAAACTGTAGCAACATTTTTGAGCTAATTTATTTATATAACTGTGAATGCTTACCTTTGTTTTATAGGAGCCAACAAGCCATAAGCAGGTGTTTCATGATGCTCCTGATCAAGCAGACTCTTTAAAGTTTTACCTCAGCGACGAAAACATTCCTTGAAATTGAAGAATCGGAAATCCATTGAAGGCTCATAAAAAGAGGTCTATTTCAAGCAAGCTTCCTGATGACTATACCTGATCTAAGAAGTTCAAGGAAGGTACTATTATTGTTCCGTGCTTTTCTGAGCCTTTTATAGACGAAAGCTTCTGCCAAAATAATTCAAAGTTTATGGGTTTTTTGCATGAATCATGACAAAATTATACCGGAAATTCAGGTATGGATTCGGCTATCTTATATTAAAACCAAACTAATGCTCCAAAGCTTATGGGCTCTCGACCAAGTGATTGGAGCGAATACCATTATTTATTTCGATGACTAGTCCTTCCCTAAGCGATGCACTCTGTGAAATAGGCTCCTTTGCAATGATCATTTAAGCTTTTTAGAACAATTTTTCATACTTTTGATCTAGTGAGAAATATTTTGTACTCAAACTTAAGCTCTAAAGTCCAGCAACATACGGAAGCCCTTTTCTTTTGCTTTTGGAATAGTTTTCTTCGCTCTCAGGCCAAAATTATACAATGAAAATGGCAGAGCTTTCTTAAGTAAATTTCTCCAAATTTAATTTGCAACAAGTTATGATAAATCTCTAATAAAGCTGCTATAGAGCAAGAAGACCTGCTGAATAAAGTGGACTATGCTAAGGTGCTTTCTAGTATCGAAAAGTTGGTCCAGATGGAGGATCCTTACTCTGAGCTCAAGCTGAGAGTCCACCGATCGGAGTAAGTTCATTAAAACAGGTTATTATACCATCGGCTGTTTTAATATAATCGTTAGGTCTCTTGCTTTAGTTATGCAGAAGACTATGTATGAGTTCAGAAATATTCCTGTGCGGTTCAATTGTTCTGAACCATGGAGGTCCTCCCAATATGAAAATTTTGGTTACCCTCCCTTTTGCTTTTATTGATTAATGATTTATTTAGGGATTACCAGATTTATATGAAATTACAAACATCTCAACAGATGAAGGTGGTTAGTGGCTCTGTGATGTGTGAGACCCATTACTGCTTTAGTATTCCTGATGTGAAGATGAGCAAGAGTCAAGTTAGAGAGATCTTGAGACAAGAACAAATTATTGCGACTCATCTTGAAAGTTCCTCTGAGTGTGAATTTGTGTTCGAGTTCGAAGTGGCATATCCTCATGTAATGAGTAAGAATTTGAGTAATCCTTTAGAGAGCCCGAAGACATTGAGCAGCCAGCTTAGAGATACCTTGGCATCAACTGCTTGGGACTCAAGCAGTCAATACCAGAAACACTTCCTCAAAGCTTTGAACGAAATTCAAAATAACTTGGGAGTCTTAGTGTGAAACTATGTCATCGATCAATTCGGTGATATTATCACTCAGTTAGGAGTTGATTGTGATCAACAAGATATTGTTGTGCTGAACTTCAGCACTCAAACCTGTTTGTCAAACAAAGATTGGCCAGAGAAGAGACTCGAAGACTCTACTTCTCAGGAATTAAAGCTAAGTGATTCAGAATCAATAGCTGAGGAAGCAGCAAGAGTCAATGTTGGTGAATTTTACGATACAATTGTTGGTCACAAGACTCAATTTCCTATGAAAGCTCAGTCTGAAAAACTTGAAAGACTTTGCAACCAAAATATCCCTAAAAGACCTTCTAAGTATTTATAATACCAAGAAAGAATTAAGCCAATGACATAATCGTCCTAAACAGCAAGATTTGGATGAAAACTTCTCTCCGATCGGAAATAGCTAATTATGTTTATTTTACCTAAAATTACCCAAAATAAAATTATGGTCTTCTATGAAGGTGAGAATTATTCCTTCTCTCATGTTAAAGTCACTACAAAGATGGTGAACTCTCAAAATAATGTTGAATTACTTTATGGTGATAAAGACTTGTTTTGACGATATACATCCCCTTTGTGTGCTAGTAGATACCTTAAATTAAAAGATCCTGCTTTTTTAATCAGGAAAACTATTTCAAAAAGCCATTTTCAATCTTTCTGCCCATTATGGGGTTTTGGGGTTTTGGGGTTTTGGGG